GAAAATGTGGTTTTTTAGATTAATTTTTTAATCTACTAAATGTTCAAATATTATTCAAAGCCTTGCCAAATATTTTTGAAACCCCCCAATTTAATTAACTATATACAATAGATGAAAGTTCTCGCCAGTAAAGTAATTCAAGTCCTTCATGTTGCACTTGTAACAAAAATAAACTTCAATATACTGCTGCATAATTAATCCATCTTTCATAAAAATCTAACCGGAAAAATTGTATGTAGAAACAGTACATTACATACAAACATTTACGAAATTATGCAATTTTTCCAGCCTTCGTCTAGATTCAACAAAGTTGGCAATTCTACCTTCCGAAATATTTGAAGTACTGTACTCTACAACCATGGAGCAACTTTCAACATATTCCTTGCAGAAAAAAAAAGCTGATGTATGAGTTTCACAAAGACACAATATTTTCCAGCAATTCATCTTCACTTCTTGGCATGTTTCTTACAAAAATACAAGCACAGTAAATTTCCTGTCATACGCATCAATCAACTGAACATTGAAAAATTTTCACAAAACAAAATCTCGCCCGAATTCTAGAAAAAATTTGAATAGCCATGTAAAAAAACTTGCTTTATCTCTGTAAACTTCGGTGACCGTGAACGTGAAAATTTTTACAATTATCTTCCCCATGTTACTTGGCATAAAAAGAAGCAAGATTGTCTCGGGTCATGTTGATGTTGTTCAGTGCCTGTGTGTGTGTTTGAGAAAGAGAGGGAGAGACCAACGACCCACGACCTCGTCCACAAATAACCCCTCCAAGGTCGGGAAGATAGTCACTGAACCCACCAGCAACGTTAATAATGAAACATCGACCCAACAGAACCCGGTGGGGGTCAAACAAACCCTCCGTGTGGGCCTCATTTTCCACGCGAAGTGTTCAGTTGGTTAAACAATTTATGCCATAAACCGCAGACATTATATGAATATTCAAACCGAACCCGGCCCTTTCAGAATAACTTGCTTTTCAAATTTACTGAAATGAAATTTCAGAAATTGATCATTCACACAAATGATGAATTTCGCCTCTGATGCTGAAGCTCGCCTTTTTTCCGATTGCAATTTTTGACAAGCTCAATTTTTCGTACGAATATTTGAAAATATCACAATGAATGAATTTTATAGCTCAGATTTTCACGAGGATTGTCAGAAATCCACGCGTGCCTTAAAATACTGTACCCAAAAACGTTTGGCAAAAGACTTTAATCTTAAGAGCGACTCATGTTGAAAAAGTGAAACGACACGGGCTATTTTTGGAAGAAAAAAAGGGTCGACAATTTCAAGCAAATAAATTTAATTTTTCATTTTTGTAAGAAACGAGCAATTGAATGTGTAAATAACTGATAACTTCAATTTTCATGAAGATTTTTTTCTTTTGTATAATTTTGCATTTTATTTTACTGAATGAATAGGAGGGAAAATAATATAGTTTTTGGGAAGGAATAGAACAAGGACTGTCCCAAATCCGCGTGTCCTTGAAAGACTTGGAAATATCACTAAAATTTGATAAATCACGAGAAACACTGGGGAAATTTAATTTAAATAAATTTTCTGACAATATTTTGAGTCATTCAAGAACAATTGCCCTAATTGACTAACTGTATATGCTTGTCATAGATAAGCAATTAAAATTTTAATATCAGCCTCAACGTAAATCGATTGAATTTCCATCGAACAAAACATATTAGATTTACTTTTTCGAAAGAAATGGCTGCTGAATATTTTCTTTACTTATTGTGGTACAGTTTATTTATAGGAAAACATTTCACATTACCTTTGCTTCTAATGTTTTCAGGTGTACCAGTTCATGTACAAAGGCATTAAACTGATCGACGGAAACGTAATAAAAAAAAATGAAGCCTTGGGTAAATTTTCCAAAAACTGTGCCGGTGTTTTTACTAATTATTGTGGCAATATGTGATGGTGTGATATATCGCGCTCCGCATCGCTCATTCGGGAGCGACATCTTGATCAACGACAGAAATCAGTCTCAGGTTGGGCAATTTATTCGGTTAGCAGAGGGCTCTGTCTTCGGTTCCGCAGATACCACCGTTGGTGCCCTGAAAGTTCCTTACTATGCATACAAAGGAATCCCCTTCGCTGTTCCTCCACTCGGGGAACTGAGATTTAAGGTGAGGATTCACTGTCTTTTAATATATTTGAATGCGATTATGAATTTCTTTTTTGAACATTCACGCCTTTATTTAGACCAGGTGTGAGACGAAGTGTGTCAGAATCTCTTTTGTTTTCACGGTTGGTGCGTAGGAATCGGATCAGTCGCCGGAAAGAGTTCGTGTGCGTGCGTCAGTGTGACGCTCATCAAACCGTGAAGAAAAATGCGCAGTAGTTTTCTTTCTGTTTCTTAGCGATGAGCTTGGAAAAAGTGTGCTATATATTTTGAACGTGGACTCTTTGTTTATGTAGGATCCTGTGCCTTATCCTAATTGGCAAGGGACGAGGTTGGCAACTCAATTTAAGGATTATTGCCTGGGATTCCTGTTTTCTTTCATGAGTGGAGATGAGGACTGTTTGTATCTAAATGTCTTTGCGCCGAAGGTGAGATGCATGTATGTTTATATATATATATATATTTTTTTTTAAATAATATGTTAGATACAAATGTTTATGGAAGTGTGAATAACATAAAGTGTCTATTGAAACGCTTCAGTTGCAAGATACAGGAGATGGAAGTTTGCGACTTTTAGCTTGAATCATGTTTTTTATTGCTTGTATTCTTAGTCAGAATTCTCCAAATTTTTTTTTAGATCCATCTGAGAAATGATGTAGAAGAAATCCTGTGGCTTTTTTTCAGGAAGAACATTTTATTTTTTCAGCCTTGTCACGTGCAAATTAATTTCCAGCGACTGACATTTTAGACAAAATGTATGAACCATGAGAAATTCCAAAATATCAGCATTGTTTTCAATTGGCGCCTGCTTTACAGACAGGGGATTTTGCTGAAGAAGATCTTAATTTATTTGAAAAAGTGTATTATTCTGTACTTCGAATTCCTGAAACTATAATAAACATGCAGAAATGTTGGGGAATTTTAAAGCCTTAGACGTGGTCTGAGCTAAAAATCGGAGCCAGCTTTGGGAGGGAAAAATTGGAAACAGTGGTACAAGGACATTTTAAATCATTTTATTTTGTAAGAACTGTTTTCATATTAATTAAAGAACAACCAGGACATTAAACGGAGAAGTTCAGGTATGCCAAAATGTTTAGATTTACCTTTGTACAATACTTTATGCACTCAATTTAAAGTTACCGTATCACAATGAAAATTATCATTCTTTACTTGCAAATATATTTTCGCACGATTACGCTTTAATGAAATGAGTGAAATGACTCAACTCGCTATTTATTTTTTTCGAAATGTTTTAAAATATTTGAAATTTAATTCGAGATTCACATTAATCATTTATGTTTCGGTTTCAGTTCCGGCATCAAAAGAAACGATTCACTGATATACCGAAATTCTCTCGAAACCTATAAAATGCTGGTCAGTCAAGTAAGACGTAAAATATTTCGAATCAAGTCATGAATCAAACGACTTCGATCTTCTGTATCTATACAATATCTCATTTTTTTATTTCACTGCTGCAACGATTTTGTTTTGCTTTCATGTATATTTATATTTTTGTTCAGAGGAACCCAGAGGATCAACGGCTTTTGCCTGTGATATTTTGGATCCATGGAGGCGGATTCCAACACGGATCCGACATCAATTCTTGGTTGTATTACCCAGGAAGGTTCCTTGAACAAGGAATCATATTCGTGTCTCCAAACTATAGACTTGGGGCCTTGGGTGAGTCAGAGGAATTGTAATAAACTTATTTCGGAATTTTCTTTCAAATTCATAGAATAGTTTAAAGAATTCAACAGATTATTCACGTTTGGATTTGATCATTGTCTTCAAAAACAATATAATGGAAACCAAAAAATAATTCAGGGTATATTCGAATGCAGGAGGATTTTTGACGATAAAAAAACTTTAATGCGGGAGACGCTGATTTAAATAATTCAATGATGGCATCGACTCGTATTCTTGACATTTTTCTAGCTGGGATTTTTTTCCCTCTCCCGTTATTTTCTCATGGTGGCGCCCGAATATAATCGCTGAACTGGATTCTGACGTTTGGCAGGGTTCTTAAGCACGGATGACGCCGTGGCGCCCGGGAACTATGGGTTGAAGGACATCGCGTTGGCGTTGCGGTGGACGCGGATGAATGCACGGGCGTTTGGGGGCGACCCGGACGCCATCACGGTCATGGGACAAAGCGCCGGCGCCGTCACGGCGCACCTCCTGGCCTTCTCGCCCGTTACGCAAGGTACGACACCTGGTTTTGCTTTTGTAAAACTCTCCCGCAGCAAGGTTTGTATTTGAATAGCAAGGTGACGCTGAAACATGTTGCGGAAGTAACGGGAATGTGCAGAAGATCATGTTTCCTGCTGTACAGTACAGAAAATAATTGCTAATAATTTTTGTTTTCAATTCATGAAAATTATTCTGTGCATTTTTAAAGTGTGGATTTGTCAAGAAATTTCAAGGAAATATTTATATGGAGCCAAAGCTTTTTGTGTGTTCAGGAAATGAACATGCCACAAAAGAAAATGAATTTACAGGAAATAATATTACCTTTAGCGAAAATATTGGGTGATACATTTTTCTGAACTTTCAGAAATCTGGCATCGTTTTAAAATAAAAAAATGTCAAGGAAATCTTTATGGAGCCGAATGTGTTTTTTTTTGTTCAGCAAATGACTCTACTTATAAGTTATATGTAAAAAAATCAGCATGAAAACCATGAGAAAATTGAGTTTTAGGGTCACCCTCTTTCTTAGGCCTTTTCAGGTCAGGTATTTCAATGAGTGGTGCAGCCACCGTGAATTGGGGAATTCACCCAAGACACAGATTGGTTGCTAACAAAATGGCATCATCATTAAACTGTCCAGTGCGCAGCAGTGAAGAGATGATTTTCTGTTTGAGAAGAAGAGGAGCCAGAGAACTTGCCAGTGGTGTCAAAGAGTTCTATGTGAGTTGATACTGTTTGTTTTTCATAACTGTGCTAAAAAAAATGACGTATTTTTCCAGAGATGCTGGATTAATTCTTCTTCCTCTCTGCTGCTGAGCCAGTAATTCCAGATCCTGTAAATTTAATCTCAATTTTAAAAACTGGTCTTTGTGTTTGTTGAATTTTGAAGATTGGATAAATTGAAAAATCCCTTTTGATGGGGGATTCTCAATTCATTTGGAAACACTGCCTCACTTGAAAATGTCCCCAAAATTATTATTTTTTGTCTGAATGTACTGTAGTAAGTTTTTTGCCTTGTAGCTTCAGAAGAAATACATTAAATAAACTTGGATCCAACATCAATCATAAGTTACATGGCCTGTATTTCCCGGAAATTTGCCTGGTAATAAATAAAGATATATTTAGGTTTCTTTCTTTTATTTCCTTCCAATTCCTGGTCATGGCCAAGATTGAATAACCAGTACATTTTCATTGTGTTGATTCAACACTATGACATTTGTGAGAATCATGAACACATTCATTTTTCTTTACACTGAATATTGATTATCCACAACAAAATACTAAGAGAATCTAATGTGGCTAGAATTTTTTGTCCCCTGTCTAAATTTCCTCCAGGACAAGGAAATCTATTTATATATTGAATTTGAACCTTCATATAACTTCAATTCCTTAATATTGCACCTTTGTGATATTATTTCTGGGACCCTGCAATTAAAATGTAAATGGATGCAATTCGGAAAGGAGGCCAAGCATGATCCTCTCAACTGATCTGTTTGGCAGTTCAAGGCCCCAAAATATTGCCAATTTTATCTTTCTTTAAATGATCCAGCATTCTGCCACGAAAATACAAGCTTCCCGAATTGAAAAACCATTAAGAACAATTTTTTGGTCCCTATGAGATTTAGTTACGTAGAGGTCTTGTTGTTCTTGCATTCATGTAATCATTGTAAAAAAAAATTTGGCTAGTATAATTCGGAAAATAATTTTTTAGATTTTTCAGCTAGAATATACTTGATTTGTTGGAAGATTAGTAAAAAAAAAAGTATGCCATCAGTATTGCTAAATCATCAAAAAAAAACCAAGGAGCATAATTAAATTTCTGGATTCACTCGACCTGGGACCAATCTGTAAAATTGATAACCTTTGTAAAAGTTTTTGTTCATCGAATTTTTTTTTCCCTGAACAGACTTTACCTGGACCTCGTTATGCAATTCCCTTTGCTCCACGGATCGATGCTGATTCTTCATACCCGATTCTTCCCCAACATCCATTAAAAATGATTTTGAATCGAAGATTTCAACCGAAACCCTGGATTTTTGGGTACACCAAGGACGAAGCAGCTTCTTTCTACTGGGGTATTTATTGTTCCCGACATTAATTCCTTGAAAAAATTTTTTGTTTTGTGAATTTTACAGGAATTTATTATGACGAGGATCGAATCATGAAACTGGACTCAATTTGGGATATGCAATGCAAAAGACACATTTTTGCGAGTTTGGGCGCCGAAGATGTTTTACCTCCTCCAAATCAGATGTTGGGAGTTTGCAAAAGAGCAAGAAAACTTTATTTCGGAGGCAAAAGAATCAATAATAATTCATCCACTGAACTGACTCAGGTTTTTAAGAGAAAAAAAACATTTCTTCGATTACGATTTCGTGAAGTATTTATTATTTTTATTTTTTGTGCAGGTGGGAACTGATGCTTTGATCGCTTTTGGCACAATTGCAGCGGCAATGATTCAGTGCCAAAGGTCAGTGGACACTTGGTTATACAGATGGGATCACGCTAATGATAAAATCAGTTTTGTCAACGTTGTGAATTACATCTTCAACAACCGTTTGCATGGATTCATCACGAAAACCAAGAGAACCAGCGATTTTCGCCTTGGACCCAGTAAGTAAAAACATGACTTCATAATTTCAAATATATTTTATTCAAATTCGTGTTGCAGGTGTTGGACACTTGGATGATTTGTTCCTATTGATGTCACCACCTGTATTTCCACCATTGAAAGGCGGTGATCTAGCTGTCCAAGATTTGATGAGTGAAACATTTGGGAGTTTCATCAAATTTGGGTGAAATTTTATGAAGTTCTAATTTTTGTGATCAATCGAAAATTTAAGAAGCTGCTTTAGTAAATGACTGACCAACTTTGGAAAATTTGACCATCCATGTTTAAAATTAATAATACAGTAATAATAATGATAATTGTCAAAGAATTAAAATAATTTTGGCCATGCATGGTTTTTTGGATCTGCAGTGCTTGAATATGCCACATAAGACTGGAAATGTTAGTTTAGTGTCAAGTTGTGAGGTTTATTGCATGACAATTATTGTACAGTGGGTCCCTACTTTGAAAAAGACCTGTACAGGTGGTACCTTGCAATTTGACCCTAATCCATCACAGGACTAGTGTTGAATTGCAAAGCAGTCAAATTGCAAGACACTTTGTAAAATTGAGAAATATCAGCACAAAACTGCAAAAAAGTGGCCAAAGTAGATCAAATTCTGGTGCGAAGGTCAAATTTCCAGTTAACCTTTCTGCAACTATGACTGTTGAATTGCAGAATGGTCAAATTGCAAGGTACCACCTGTACAACAACAATTTTCAATCACAAAACTTGCCTTATCAAAAGAAAAAGTGACTGAAAAAATTTTTTTCACACATGCTTCTAATGCAGGGACTAACTGTGGTGAACTTAGTTATAGGTGTCAATAAGATAAGTATCAGATTGGATCAGTCAGGTACTCAGGTGTTTAGTCAAATGAGACAGTTGACAATTTCAATTTCATATTGTACAAGCTTGCTTGGTCAGCTTGAAGGGTTTGAAATCACTTTCAAGAGTTGGTTAGATATCATTTTAAAATTTATAGTTAACCTGGTTGATCCATGCTAAAGCAGTTGTGAACAAATATTGTTTTGAATCAAGTCATCAATAGCTTTTGTGTTGAGTTATTTTTGCAATCCCAAAGCTTTCTGTAACAATTTGGAATTTTCTCATTGTTTCAGAAATCCAACAGTGGGAAACAATGTCAATTGGCCACAATTCAATAGATATTCGCAAAAGTATCTAATTGTTGAGGAAAAGCCCAGAGTTGAAGACCATCCCATGTCCGAAGAGAAAATGACTTTATGGGCTCAAACCTATGATCTCTTTAACCAAGAGCATCTTCACTTTGCCATTCCATCACTGAACAACCTCTTGGACCTGCCACCTGTTGAGAAAAGCGGGGAATTTCAAGACACCCGCCCAAGTGCCATGCTTCGGATCTCTAATATAGATGTCGCTCCTGAAGCTCAATACCACGCATATCCACCGTATTAAGGTTTTTCGTGTGTGCAATTCGTTTAACGATTTTTTTTTATTGATGACTGGAAACGCAGATCTCGTTTATGATTTATTCCTGGAACGTTTTGGGCATTTCCATGTCGGGAAAATTTTGATGACTTCCTGCAGTGAGATATTCTCAGGCAATTTTGGCAATAACCTAAAATATATAAGTGTTCATTGTTTACTGGAATGCAAGATTTTCTCTGTGTTTTGGATTTTCAACATATATTGGACTCTTAATGGAATTGAATCTCTTTCTGTTGCAGGATTCTTGAAACTGTGAATTTCAACGTTTGGAATGAGGAATATTATGATCATTTTGTGATTTACATCAGTGTTTGTGACTGAGGTTTTTTTTCTACCCATACTAAAGAAAAAAAGCAGAATGTCTGTGATCTTTTCTTTATGTGTGATCAGCTTCCAATTGTTTCCCTTGAACATTTGGGCTTCTCCTCATTATTTTCGCCCAATTCCTGCCTCATCAACTGCGTCGATGAGTCAGCGATTTGGATCCAATGGGGCCGCCATCTTGGGAAGCTTGGATTCTTGGAACAGCTTGAGGAATTTTCCACCAGCCATGGTTTATCCTCAGCCAATGCATAATTGGCAAAGGTTTTTGTACAGGAATCCCCCAGGGATGAATCACAACTGGATGTTGCCTCCATATTGGAGTATCTTCAACATGGCTGCTCCCAACAGGGTTTTCATGAGTCCTGTATTTCAGCCTGTTGCCAGTTTGCCTGTGGGAAACAATAAACACGATATGCCTTTTGAGTGAGTTGAAAAATGAAGACATTTCAATTGTGCAGAAAAGTTTTCCCCATGATTTAAAAAGTTTAGAATTCTGCATGTATGATAATCTTTGAAAATAAATCTGCATACTTCTTTATTGCAATAAAACTAAGCCCTTAATGTTTATATCCTTATTTAGTATTCATTTGGTATAAAATACAGGTGGTACCTCACAATTTGACCTCCTGAAATTTAATGATAAAGTTTGCCATGAGGTCAACTTGCAATTTGACCTCTGCCCTGCAATTCAGCCTGGAGAGAAATGCAAAACACCAAAAAGTTGAGTTAGAAAACATTGAATTTGACATTGTCTTGCAATTTGATTGTTTCACAATTTGACCTTAGCCCCAGCAACAGCAGATTAGGGTTGAATTGCAGGTACCGCCTGTTCAGTAGCTCAGTTAACAAACTCCTGGCATTTCAATAAGACTTTTTTATTTTATTTGCAAGGGTGCCTTGAGTGGAGTAATTACTGAAGTTTAAATATATTATTAACTGCATCACTGATGGAACAGCATATTTTCTTATGCCCAGCATTCTACTGTACACCATATAGGAATACAATTTAAAAGACTTAAAAGTCTCACAACTTAAAAAAATATGAAAAATCTTAGAGGATCAGGGAAAAGTGTCAAATTAATAGGAATTCTCCTCACGTATGCAGTGAATTATTTTTGATAGTCCAAAATTCTTTGAATAGATGCATAAGAGGATGTGGAAACATTTTGTACACCTTGTAAATGCTGAAAAAATGGCAAGTAAAGCTTGTATATCAATCAATCCTTTTTTTTTTCAGGGGAAAGAACATCGTTTTCATCAAACCCTCCTTCAGCAACCCTGCTGGGAATGCTTTAACTCCACAACCTCCATCAATTTTCCCAGCATTCATTGCTTCGAGGCCATCAGCAATAGAAAACACTGGAAGAACAGAAATGCCGGAACCAGAAGAACCCACGTCACCTTCGAACAATAATTCTTCACCCTTCTGCGGTTACCAAAACACAGATTTAACATGTGGGCTCGACCAAACCGTTTGTTTGAGAGAGTACCCATGGCTGGTTCTGCTGTATTCATCAGGAGATTCAATTACCTGCTCTGGGGCTCTAATTAGTCCCAATTACGTCCTGGCTTCTTCCTTCTGCGTCAAAAGCTTGTGAGTATTTTGATCAAGCCGAAAAAATACACAAGAAAATACTGTGATTACCTTCTTTTAAAAATGTATCTTATTTTCAGGACGAAGATCAGAGTAGGAGAGAATGACCTGAGCACGGAAAAAGATTGTACGAGAGGACGCTTGAAGAGTTGTTGGCAACACGTTGATTTCAAGCCGATTACTGTTAATCAAAACGGACCCATTTCGTTGATCAGACTGGACAAAACAGTGCCTGAAGGTTTTGATTCGATCACCGATGGTTTTATATGCGAATTGATTCATTTTTATACGTATTTTCGTTATTCATTCCCGTATATAGAATTGGCGACTCCGATTTGCATTCCTGGGAATGAAGAGGCGAACAAGTTGGCGACTGGCGTTGTTATTTTGGCTGGCTGGGGTTTGCATCAAGCAGGTGAGTAATGAAATGAAATCATCTTGCGATTAATTGATTGTCAATTGAACATTCGATGCGTAAATTCCAAACCATGTGATGGAAATTCACTTTATACGCAAAAATACAGGCAAAAATTTCAAAAGTTTCCTTTTTTCGGATTTTTGAGAAAATCGTGCCTCATTATTGTCATTTAAAATCAAATTCTACGTTGATTTATTTCACTTGATTCTTTCTTGCCAATCTTCAAATCAGCAAAAAAATTGATTCTGTATCTTTTATAAATATGTCTGCGTCGAAGGAAATAAAATTTCGAAAAATGTATTCATGGTTCGAAAATGCTCTTATTCTTTCAGAGCTAGAGTGGCAATAATAAGTGCCATTTTGATAACAAAATTAACGTTCAAAGCAACCAAATACAAATTTCATCCTGAAGAATTGAATTTTTGCATTGAATTTCGATGAATTTATTTCGCAAATTTTGTTTCAGGTGCAGATAAAACCATTGGCACTCCTAATGGAAGACAAATCAGGAACCAAGCAAAAACCGCTGCATTGGATCCGTGTCTGATATCCAAGAAGAACTCAACTTTTTGTGCTGAGGATAAACTGAATTCTGAAAATGAGTGCATTTCTGACAATGGATCCCCTTTGATGTCCCCAATAAGCGGATCCGGCCAATTTTTCTTGATGGGACTCAAAGCAGAGACCGATGACAAGGTCTGCTTTTCTGGAAACCCTGTTGAGTTCATTCGAGTTTCGGATTATCACGACTGGATCAAGGCCCAGACTTTTGATAATTCTTGACTGGAACGATGATTTTTGAAAAGCGTAGTTGATGATTTACTGTTTCCTCAAAATATGAGGCAGGTATCATAGAAAAAAAAGGGGTCCTATGGTAAATTTTCAGGTTTTTGTTGAGAAGAAATTCGGGCCCACTTCTAAAAACAAGCATGCGTCTTAAATTTGAGAAGATGGGTTTTTTTCGATTTTGAATCGTCAATTTCTCCAATTCAGGCAGAAGCATTTCTCTCAAAAAATTTCTGGTTGAAAAATACTTTATAATCGAGTTTTATTCTTACTATTAATATTGAAAATCGTGCATTATGAAACTTCTAATCTCACAAAAAATAATAACATTAACCTGTTAGAACAGAATTTTAATTTGTGACCTTTCTATTGATATTGAATATGGGGAATATTTTTAGGCAATGGTGCTATTTATGTTTTGTGCTCTTTCAAAGGAAATATCGAGGTTTTCTTTTTGTCAATGCTAATTTTTCACGCAATGCCAGAGATAATGAGAAGAATTCCAATTCAAGAAGATAGAAGCAGTCCTGTCCCAAATGCGAGTGGCCTTCGTCGAAGAGAGTAAAAATACAACACATTCAGTCCGAATAAAATCAGCATAAAGCAAACAATTCTTGATTACATTTTAGAAACAAATCCTTTTCTTCAAAACTCAAAAGTGAGGCAGAAAAATGGCATTCTGACACGACTTGAGTGGAATTATTCTCTTGCCATTTTATAAATGACGAATTCTCTAGAAATTCTCATTCAATGTTATGAATAATATAGATAAATAAATGTTGTATGTTTGGCTGCTCACGAATAATTTTCGGACGTGCAGAACCAGGACAACCCTCCATTTTTGAAGTTGCGTTGACTATGTCAAATTCTTGGTCGATAGGGGAATTAGTGGAATTATCATTCCCCTTTTAGTTTTTACTCGACCAAAAAAATGGGACCAAAGATGAAATTTTGCATCATTATATAGAACGTAGTCAAAATTCCGAGCTTAATATTCGGCAGTTTTAAGAAAATCTCGTTAAAACGGGAAATCTAACTCAAGAGAGTTATTCGAGGATTTTCAACACGAGCTTCGATCCCGAGGATGAGTTTTTTGTTTGATTGTTTGTTTTCGTTTACAAAATCCCACGTTTGACTCTCGAAATGTTCGTATCGAAAATTGAAATACAAAGAGAAAACCGACGAATGCGGGTTCATCATTCGAATTTTGATTCGGAGAAGTTTCGTTCATTTTTTTTCGCGATCTTGATTATTCATGAGTCAGCGAGTCATGAATAAATTCTGACCAAAAAAAGTTTTCGAAGGACAAGAAAACACGAGGTGATCGAAACCTTTTTTTGGACATCATTGAAAGAAAAAGATGAGACTTATCCGAGGTCAACGATGTTTTGAAACTTTGGACCCACAACTGAGCCGAGACCAGGGTTTCTTTTTCCTTCTGCCGGGGTTTTATGCATGAGGAAATTCCATAAAAGACACCCATTTTTGAATTTTCAATTACAATATAAGCATGTCTCGCTTATTAAAGAAATTAGTTTTCGATATCGACACGATAAAATGTTTTCCTATGGAACTTATTTCTAGGAAACCTTGGGGAATTGCATTCTCCGGAATCTAATTAATTTTACCCAAGACTGTGAGAATTTAAATTGTAACCCTACCCGGTATTTTCTCAGCAAATATTCTAAAAATATCTGCGCAGAAGGTCATCGACAGTCAAATTTTCATAATTGATAATCAACGATTATTTTTCACAAATTTTTGAATCAAAATTTTAAAAATATTTATCCCTTTAAAATGAATTAGTTTTTAATATCAACGCAAAAATTTCTTCTAATGCGACTCATTTCTCGGAAATCTTAGGGAATTATACATCTCTGGAATTTAACTAATAAAACCCAAGACCGTGATAATTTAAATTGTACCCCTATATCCGGTATTTCTCCAGCAAATATTACAGAAAAATCAGCAAAGAAGGTCGGCAGACACATTTTCATACTTGATAGTCGACGATTACTTTTCACGACTTAATTTTAATATAAAAATAAAAGTAATATTTTATTTCCTGGGAAAGATTCCTTCGTCGCCTTTTTTCCAGGAAGATCCTTGAACTTGAGGACGAGTATATATAAGACGTCCATCAAGAAATGCGCAATTGTGCTCTCGAACTAATTTTCAGCTTATAACTCGATCCTTCCTGGTCCCTTGCACAAAAAAGCCAATATTACTATGGTTGGATGAAACAGGAAGAAATTGAATAGTATATAATGCCCATCCCTGAGCAAATGGTCTGGTATTATTGCTTATTTTCTCAGGTGTCTTATATATATGAAGCAGATGGGGTTCTATCGAAAGGGGCAACTTCAAAGTTATTTTCCTGGAAAAAAGTAGTCATTGAAAAAGTATAAATAGAATAAATTGAAAAAAATATGAATCAATATCATGAATGATATTGCATTGAAAAAATCAACGACGAAATTGGAAATAAGATTGGTTAAGCTTACAATAGTTTTCTCAAATTGCGGCTTGAAATTCTAAATTCACAGGTAAAATGATGCAATTGCTTACGTAAGTGCACACCTTTAAATGATAACATCTAATTTCTATATTTTCCATGTTTTTCATGTCTTACACGCTTGTAGAACTTGCGCTAATTGATTATTTGAGACATGAAACCAGCATATCGCTATTGAAACCTATTCAGCCGTGTTCCTCATTATTTTCTGGGAATTTTTTCCATTTTTTATGTTATTGTTCTTGATTATTGAAATGCGAAATTTCTCAAGAACTGACTAAGATAACGAAGCACATCAGAATATCATTTTCACATGGCGAGCAAAATGTGTGCTGCACGAAAAATTTTCTTATTGGAGAAACTATTAATTTCAGGAAGCTAGAGGAACGCAAAACTCGGAAAAAAATTCCCGAAGAAATTGAAATCAAGAAAAATATATATAAAAATCCTGGAATTATAACATTGCAAAACAAAAATTGTGGGCACCTGAGAATAGGAAACTTTATCCAGCATTCCAGAGACACACGAAAAAAAATTTCAGCGAGCTTCCTCGCCTACTCAAAATTGAGAAACGTCTTCCAAGGGAAGTAAAACTTGTAACCAAAGAGCGGATAAATTTCCGACATCAGGCAGCTAAAAAAATCCATCCATTCCTATAATGGTTATTCGGCAAATTTTTGCTGTTGTCTGGATATCCATTTTATAGGAGACCTCTATACGGGGAATTTTTTATAAAGAGAACACAATTTCTGGACGTGCTGTTTCCATAAACCTTGCAATCTCAATTCCTATGTTGGAATGCTTCACCTGAAAAATCCAGCTTTTTTTTAAAGTAACTGAGCTTTTCAAGGCTTGACTTTTGGACTCACTGTGGAGCGACTCAAATGTTAGTTGTCTGCATTAACTAAAACCTAATTAAAGAAAACCAAGGTAAAAATAATTTTGAAAATTCTTGACCACTTTTTTCATAGCTTGTCTTCTTTGCCTTCTTTATTTTTTCCTTCCAAAATCCTGAAATACCAAATGCTGAAGACAATATTCCATTTTCAATTGTTGAATGCATTCCAATCACATATGTCCTGAACAGGATTATCCAATTTTGTGAAAAAAAACTTACCTTAACCGAAGTTTGACTCAACTAGTTTGACGAGATATGGCCTATTTTACAAGCCCAAAGAAAAAAAAATTGATTGGAGCGACACCTATGAACAAAAAAGTAATATTTTGGCATTGTGGACAATGAACAGGAAAACAAGGAATCCACTGCTGATCATACAGTACAGTATATGAGTGTATAGAGTAGTGTTCCCCAACCTTCTTGGGCTTGAGGGCTTGCAAATTTCAATGAAATCTTTTGAGGACCAGCAAATTTTCATAAAATTTTCTGCAGACCAGCAAAGTTCCATAAAACTTGTGAAGACCATCAGAAATTTTATTTTAGCATCTTCCCTGAACAAAACTTGTGCTGTGTAACAAAAACTAAGTCAAGAACCAACGAAACAGCCACACTTTGAAATGCATTAAAAAATAGAAAAATGGGCTTCAAGCAAAAATCTTCCTGGATTATACATTTCGCGGGCGAAAAAATGTCTGAGTTGTTATTAAGGGAAAAGCCAACTTTCATTTTTCATCAGCTAGTTTCAACTGCATTTGTGTTTTCGATATTTTGGACAATGATAACACACTTCATTACAACCTTCTATAAATTTAGCATGCTGACAAATTTTTCCTGTGGACCAGCAAACAACTTCTGTTACGGACCTCGGGTGGGGTAACACTGGTATAAGAGAGATGAATGACTGTGCATTGATCATTGCTTATCAATTTTTGAAATTTTGTTTTCTCCTGCATGACGACCCTGAAAAGAACTTCATATCTGGCCAAGAAATTGAAGAAACTTTCAGCATGCCCCCTCAAATCCCCAGCTCTCAAACCAGGTGGGACTCAGGAATGACCTTGCGGGTGAACAACGAGCTTCTCGCCTCATTCCTATACCCTACCTTCGTTCTTCCTTCATTTATTTTTCCGAACGACTGTAAAGACGAACCGGAAAAGATGCCCACGATAATTATGAAAGGGGTCATAGTTGCAAGGAATAACTTGTATCCCTGTACACCTGTGAACCAGGAAGAGAAGAAGACCCCAGTTCCACCCACAAAAATGATGATGACTAAAAAAAGGAAAAAAGAAAACATGCTTTCAATCAAGACGACGAATCAAACTTTCGTTTTTCTTGTTCGAGGCAAAATAAGTACCGGTATTTTTTTTAACGAGGTTTATTTATTTATTTTAATTCGTAAACAACGTTGCATCATGTTGAGAATTAAAGAGACAAGACGACGAATCAAACTTTCGTTTTTCTTGTTCGAGGCAAAATAAGTACCGGTATTTTTTTTAACGAGGTTTATTTATTTATTTTAATTCGTAAACAACGTTGCATCATGTTGAGAATTAAAGAGGTGTTTTATTAAAATTTTAACTCGTGAATAATGTTTTCAACAAAATGGGGAAACATTCGCTGACGAAAAATTTCGCCTACGAGCTACAACCCAGGTAATGAAAAAAACATGATTTTTTCACACGATTGAAGTTGGCTTTTCAATATTTTAAACTCGGAAAGTGTACTTCACGCTTCTGATTATGGACAAAATAAAAATTAAATCTCAAACAATATGTGTCACTGTATTATAAAAACGCACAACTTTTCAATCGCGTGGAAGCATTTTTTTATTCATTTTTTGCGTCGAAATTTGCCTTCAGGGTTCCTGAGTATTTCTGCAGTAATTAAATGATTGAAAAAAAAACTCAATCCTTGAAGTAATTTTATGATTTTTGCGCGCTGGAAAATATAAGCGAAAAATTCATAATAAACTAATAATTCGACATATGTTCAGCATAAAAAAATAGTATATATGTACTGCACAAAGATTTCATTGAGGAAATTTTCAGAATGGATTTTTCATTTCTACTTTTAAAAATTTGGGGGTGCACGGAACCAATCAACATTTCTATGTAATTTTACATTGATTTTTTTCAAAAGTTTCTGAAGTACGGTGTAAGCTTCTTTCGCTAGAGATGATCAAGTCCGTTAACCGAGGCAATTCTGCCTTCCACTTCACCAGTGCGCCAGAAATTTGCTCAATTTTCTTAAAACTCGGATTCTAAATTAATGTTTGCGCTGCAAATTTGAATCTGTTGAACTTAAATAGTTGGAGTATCCTTTTCAACAAAGATATTATATTCCAATAGTCAAACAGCTCATAAAATAACAGAAAACTCTTGTGGAAATTTGAAAATGTTGGACCAAGAAGGTGGAAAAGTAATCCCACACTGATATAATCAACAAGACAAGAGTGATCATATTTTTGTGTGCCAAAATTGTAAGTTTTTTCAATTTCAGGATAACTCCGCGGAAGCGGCTCAACTCGTTTTTCGCGTTATTAATTCCCCACTTTTTTCTCCCTCTCCAACACCTCATTTAATAAAGTGAACTACTGTAGTTCTTTCGTGAAGAAGAAGAAGAAGAAGAAAAACAAATCTTCATAGAAGGGGGTTCCACTTATGTGGGAACATGTGAAGGAAGTCGAGGCTTGCATAAAACACGTTCTTCGGGAAACGCGGGTGCTGTCGAATGCGCATAAAAACTCGAGTCTCGGAGGAAGGCGAGTCAGTCCAACCGAGAAAATTCTT